TCTGTGAAAACCACCTTTGCGCACACATGTGTGCACACACACACGCACACACAAGGGAGACAGCTGGACCCGCAGGGGCAGGGACCTCCCCGGACGTGCAGCCGCTTGCGAAGTGCGTGCACACGCAAAGCTTGCGTGTGAGTGTGCCTGGCTTCTGCAAAACCTACCGCTCGGCTCTGCGTCTGCAAAAGGAAAGGAGGAGGCAGCCCTGAGCCGAGCGGGGAACACCCAGGATGTGAGTGAAGCAAGCACTCAGATTAACATCTGCAATCGCGCATGTGACCCCGAACACAGCTTTGCAGGCAAAACTGTTTCTCTGTGGAACAAGAGGCCTCGCTACTGAAAGCTGGCCCTGTATTCAGGCTCCCGCTTTTGATCTCGCCTCCTTCCAGCTCATCTTCCCGCCCTGGGACCGGGGAAGAAGAGCAGGGGATGAGCTCATGTCGAACGCAATAGCCAGCGGACTTAAATCTGGCACCCGAGCATCCATTGGGGAGGAAGCAGGGGGTGAGCTCCAAAAGGCTACAGTTTAGTAAGAAACTTTAGCCAAGAGACGCAGTGAACTCATGAGCGCCCTTCCTCCATGCAGCCCCTGAGCACAAGCCCGCAGGCCTTGCACTCGGGTTCCCAAGGTTCGGGCGCCACGCTCATCTCATCGCTCACAGATTTTTTTTTTAACTGACAAGTTAAGAAACAAGGAAGCGAGTGCACAGACACCTCTCTGGGGGCGATGCTCAGAGGAAAGCAGGCCTCGGGCACCTCAGCGTTCGGATGCTTGCCTGTCTTTGCCTGGCAGGTGCTCTGGGCTCCACCAGCGCACGGGTTTCAGGAGATTTTCCACTTCGTTTTCTCACGTCTTCCATCCTTCCTGGTAGTTTTTATCATGACTTGCTTTAAACAAAGGTGGTCTCTTTGCCTCGGCTCCATCCAATAGCCACCCCGCTCCTCACAATAGCTCAGGCGGGATCCTGCCTTCTCTGACGTCTGGGAGAGCCGAATCAGTCCCCACGTGGGATCTTAAACTGGACGAAATAGTGAGCAAAGCTTTCTTCGGGGCAGCCACGCAGCAGGACTGAGCCTTCGTGGCCCTGTGGGGCGGTTTCATCCTGCTTTTTACTGTCGTAGAGGCATAGACAAGTTGGGCTGGCAGGGGCCGGGCTGGCAGCAGGTCCCATCGAGTCCAGCCCCCTGCCCAAGGCAGAATCAACCCTCCCTAAATAGTCCTAGATAAATGTTTCAGTTCCTGATGATGGGACAAAGCCCTCATTGAGAAGTTACAGGGAGCAACAAGCCTGAAGGTGGATGCCCTCCATGCCCACCTGGCCTGCCTGAGATATCCCATCTCAAGCAGGGGCAAGCGTCCAGCCCACATTTCCCTTATGGCTGGCGGTCCCGCCGTGGTCCCTTGTCTCCTTGCAGGTGCTGCTCTGTCTGACCTGGGGGTAGGTGACGTGCCGCTGGTATCTGGACACGTCCTCTCAGCCTTCAACACTGCTTTGCAGTGGCCACGGGTAGGCTGGACCCAATCCTATGCCACCTATTAAGCAGGCATCTGGAATTAGGTGCCATAGCGCGATGCTCTTCCACCCTGCAAAACCCGGGGAAAGGCGGGGAGGTGGTTGTCCTCCTCGCTGCTCTTCTGTGGCTCAGTCTGAAGGGGTGGGGGACAGCGTGTTGCAGAGACAGATGCACTCACGATGCCTCGGGGGCTCGAGCGGGGTGTAACGAGTGTGCTTGTGCTCTCGAGTCTAGACTCAGACCCCCAGTCGGTCGAACAGAATTGGGCCTGGCCTCTTTGTTGTGCCCTGGCATCAGGGGTCACCTTCCAAGGGCCTGTGCAGAAGTTCAGTATCAGCCCTGTCCTTTTTACTAGACATCTCTAAGAGCCGCTGTGAGGCTGCTAGACACTGTCACTAATGCAACTGGGGGAGCGGGGAGACGCTGGTGGGCCTCATCAGCTCGGGGCTCTGGGCCGATACGTGCTTTGCACTGCCCCAGCGTTGGCCCTGTCGGGAATCGGGCTAAGGGCTCAGCCCTCCTCTTCCACTGGGGCAACATGAGAATAACGTCCGTGAGGACAGCAGTGTCTCCCTGGAGCAGAATCAGTGTGAGGTCGTGGAGGATTAGGACCCCCCAAGGCCAGGGATACATGTGCATGGTGGGCACAGAGCAGCAAGGGGCATGGGGACCACATGCTGCGGTGGCTAGAGGCTGGTTAGATGAGGATTGCAAACCAGAGCACACACGTGAAGTCAAGGACTAGCATGGCCTCACTCACGCCCTGCTGCCCAAGCCATTGGCATCCTTCATCTCCTTGCGGGCCTCAGGCTTGGAAGCAAGGGCTAGTCGCGTGCAACACATCCTTGCAATCGCTGTGTGCAAAGTCGGCCTGCAACAAATCCTCTCATTTGTGATACCGAGACATCCGCCCCAGGGGCTCAGAGCCCGGCTGCGCTCTACAGGACCGGCACCGGGGATGAGACAGTCTCTGGTCCTGGCCACCTGGGGCCAGGAGGTGCGTAAACACCTGAACGCACCCACAGGTGCCTAGTGGGGGGTGTTGAGCTTTGAGGAATAGGGAGGCCTAAGCCCCGCTGACAGCCAGCAGGAGCCAGAGGCTTCGACTGCTTTGTTGCTCTTGGCCTTCCTGCCAGGCACATTTAGGGAGCTAAATATCTTTGAAAATCAGATCCTTGCCAAGTCAGCAGACAGGACAGACAGAGAAGTTTTATTGTCCCCATTGTACAGCCAAGCGACTGAGGCACGGAGACAACCAGCAGCTTGTTGGAAGCCGCAGCCGAGGCCAGGGTATGGCTGTCCAGTCGCAATGAGGTGGGGGCTACCTGAGCTAGCTGTCATCCGGCGGACACAGCGAGAGCAGCAGTGAAGGTGTGGAGGCCTAAGCTCCAGCCAAACAAGTACTCCAGAGACTCGGGGCGTGTGTCTCTGTGCTAGTCGCACACCAGCGTACGCAGGCTGTTGTGCAAGGCGCACCTGCCGTTTGCAGGCCTGCCTGAGTCTCAACCAGTGCCTTCACCCTGAGACCCTTTACCCCACCCACCCCAGCCATGTGCCTGCAGATTAAAGGACGGCGAAGCCAACCTCAGCGAATGGAGACCTCACCCAGCGAACTGCCCGCCTGCAGCATCTCAAGCAGGTGACACAAGACATACAGGCGCTGCGTGGTCTGTCTAACAACAGGACAGGCAGGTGCCTCTGAGACGCCCGCAGAGATGCCGTGGCACTGGATTCCTGGCAAGCTGCTCCTGTCAGCACTAAAATGTGATCTTGCTAAAATGTGATGACTGGTGCCAAGGAGCCAAGTGCAGGAGGGTGTAGGGTGTCGCTCCCCCGGCCGTGCCGAACAATCGCAACCCTCTCTGTGTTAAGGATTGGTTTCTTTTGAACTTTTCAGGATTGTGCTCTCCTGGCTAGGATGCACGAATCGACTCTCACTGCCACCTTTGTCTTTATAACATTATAACCAGGGCTGGACGTGGAAGAGAACGGCCTCGGGGAGACAGGTCCCGTCAGCTGTCAGAAGAGAAGTCGGGCTGGAAGAGACCTCCAGAGGTCACGTCTCATCCAACCCACTGCTGTAGTCAGGCTCAGCCCTATCCAAACCTTCCCACTCGAGTCCCTATCTAACCTGTTCCTATTCCTACGCAGTCAACCCTGCTGCACAGCTACAAAGCATGTTAATGGGAGACTGGGCGTGCTGGAAAACCCACAAGAGCCAACACCCGTCTTCACGAGATTTCCCAGGCAGCTGAATGGGTCCAGACCGATTCCCACGTCAACCACTGAGCACTTCGACCAGAGGCACCGCGGCTTCAGAGGTTCAGGTCGTTCAGCCAAAGGGACCTGGTGGACAGCAGTGTCGCTGCGGAAGCCAACCACGGTGCTTTGGTGTCAGACCTGCCCGAGATCGACGTCGGGCCCTGAGCTCGAGAAAAGCATTTCAACGTGGCATGTGAAACGTGGCCATGTTTTGCAGAAGGGAGGTGTTTCCATTCTGAACATGGCAAAAAGTCCAAATCCTCCATACAGAAGACTTCGTGGCTGTGGAGGAAGAAAGCCCATTCCACCTACCTCCTCTGCGTTTCCCAAGGCGGTGTGTCACGGGGTAATCCTGTGGCACGCTTCCTTACGGTTGCACAAACAAGTGTCATCTGCTCCGGAGCACTTGATAAGTCACTAGCGATTAACCCCTGCCCCCTCCCTGCTTCTGGATTGCCAACCAGTTGGTTATTTGTCTGAACCAAAGCCCAAAATGTGGCTCACTTTCCAGGCCCCAGGAGGTTAAGCAGCTGCGCGTGCCACAGGCAGGGCGTTAGAGAGAAGAGAGCGCCTGGGGGTCTGCAGCAGCAGGGAGGGAGTGAGGTCGGACGACCTTACACGCTCCAAGGAGGAAGGTGCCTCTCCATCCCCAACCCCAGTCAGTCAAACCTGGAGGAAACTTCCTTCCCGAGTCCCGGTCGGGCAATCTGTGTGGCCCTGAGCAGGCAAGAAAGCTAAGCATCTAGGTCCACAGGGTACTCAGGCTCTCCTCGGGGATTGCCCATCTTGTCCTGTGGCCCCCTTTCAGCAGCAGCTAACACCTGATCCTTCGGAGGAAGGTGAAGACAGAAATCCAGAATGCCTTTGGCTCAGCATCCTCGTTCAGACACATTTGCATTAAAAAGAAAAGGTCTCCTCTGTGTTTAACCGTTCACCCTGCCGGCGCGTGTGTCCTCTGTCTGGCCATGTAGCAGTCCCGGAGCCCGGGAGGCTGAGTGCCAGGGGTGGCGGTCACTCACCCTCCGCAAATGCTGGGCCCAGGCCCTGCCAGCAAAGTTTTGTCATTCGGCCGCAGCCCGGCTGCTGCCAGCAGTAATCCCTGTAAAGCTCGTATCAATTAGCAGGGCTGACGCCAGCTATTTTGCCACTCTCAGCAAAGTAAACTCTGCCACATTCTTCCTCCTCCTTCCCTTCGCTAACCACACGGACCACTAATCAGCTCCATCCTGCCGCCCTGGCCAACTCCCTGCCTCGTCCCCCGGCTAGCCCGGCCCTGGGGATATGGGCAGAGCCAGCCGGAGAGAGTGTGCTTGAGTCAGCAGAGCCAGGAATGAGGACTCGCTCCATTTTACCCCGCGGGGGAAGGCAAAGCAGACCAGCCGTCCCTGTGACGGCTGGTGCAGGTGGGTGGACGTGCGAGGTGGGTTTCGTGCTGACCCAACACCTAGTGACAAGGGGACTTTCAGGGGAACAGTGCTGGTATTTGGCTCCTGTAGGTGGATGGGGGCGTTCAAGCCTGATGTGAAAGGCGGTCTCCTACCCCCTTGCAGGCTCAGGCACGGCCCGAACTCGGGCAGCGCTGGCTGCACAACCGCGTGCGGCCACCTTCCCGTGCCAGCCCCCACGTGAAGGCTGCAGGGACACCTGCGGGGCACGTCTCCCAGCGCCCATTCCCAGCAGGAAGCCAAGAACAACAGTGGGACCCGGGAGGGCTTTTGGTGGGGAATCACAATGGTGAATGGGAAGAGGACCTCTCGAGTGTGTTTTAACAACCCTTTGCAGCAGCGGGGCAGTGACCACCGTGGTGCTCTGCTTTCCTGGTGGCAGGTTCGGGTGTTACGTCTCGTGGTTGTGTGACGGGGTCGACTGTAGTTTTGTTAGAGGTCAGACAGTGGACTTGTATGACATGGTTTGGACAAGGATGACCCTGCCACAGGCAGGGGTTGGACTAGCTGGCCTCTGGAGGCCCCTTCCAGCCAGGCCACTGATTCTAGGTGTGCTGAGATCCCTTTTAAAAGCCCCAGGCAGATGTGTTGGCAGGGAGGAAAGCTGGGTGGGCAGGGGGTTCATTTTTGCATATCCTTGTTTTTCCACTAGAAAAACCTCCCTAAGCAAAAACTGTTTAACCCCCACCCATCCTGCCCTATTGATGGGCACAAAGGTCACATGCCTACAAAGCTGGCTAAGGGAGCCTGACTCATAGCTTGCTGAAGGCAAGAGGAGTATTTGAATCAATTCATGCAGCTCTGGCTCACGGCCACATGGGCAGAGACGCACGGGCATGGTAAAATATGGGTGCCCAAGCTGCCCTGGCTGGTTTAGTACCTGGCTTGAAACTGGTTTTCTAACCGGGTGGAGTCTGAAGCCTGGGTCTGCTCAGAAAACTTACCACGGCCTCGATCTCCTTCCTGAGCATTTGCAGTCTTCCTGAGCCGGAGTTTGGCAGAGCTGTTCCCCTGTCAAAGGCAGGGCTGGCTGCAGTGGGAACCTCCTGAAATATTGATCCAGGCTGTTCTCACGCTGCCTGATTAAAACATCGTCTGTCTCTTCAGCCTGCAATGTGTCTTGCTTTGCTTTCCTGGCAGGGTGGGAGGCAGGGAGAGTCGCGTGCATCCCCCTAACATGCTCAGACTTGGCTTTGCACTGCAGAGGCAGGGACTGGATCCAAACTACTCACTAAACACTCACCCAAGCGTTTGGGCTCCAGCAGCCCCGCACGTTATTAAATGTCTGTGTCACAGCGAGGAGCGCCGGCTCTGCTCTCTGCCCGGTGGGGCTTTCTGGGTAACTGCACCTCCTGGCCTGACACACAGCCTCCTTCAAGTCTCAGGGAAGAGGAGGAGGTTGGCCCCTCTGCTCAGAAGATCTGCTTGTGTTTACATTAGTGCACTTTGCACTGCACTGAAGGGACGGCGTTGCTCTCACGGGGCCGTGTTACACCACCGTCTTAGCACACCCGCTGTGCTGTGCAGCGGTGGACCGCAAGGCTATCGCTGCAACTTCTGTGACTCGGCCAGGAGAACTTCTGTGACTCCATGGGATGATTTGACCCTGGTTGTGCCCAGGTTATTTCTCTCCTGGAGCGGCCATTTTTATTCTGGGAGAAAAAGCCTGAACAGCTGTACACTCATGGTTACTCTTGGGAGAGCAACATCTCTCCCAGGAGAAAAATCAGTGTCTGTATGAGGTCTGTTACTGGGAGTAGTCTCCGTGGCCTCCTGGGTCCCAGTGAGGGATGGGACCCTCTTTCTTCTGTTGCTCAAAGTTGGGGCAGAAGCAGAAACAAGCAGGCAGGATGTTTGCGTTGTCCAAAGCCACTTGCTCCAAATTCAGACCTCCCGGTTGCAGCAATGAAAGTGCCTCGTCTCCCCAAGGGCAGCAGGGCTCCGAGCTGGGGGTCGGTAGAAGCGGGAGCTATTTAGTGTGATGGAGCGCCGTGAACCGAGGGCACATTTCGAAATCACTGCAGCTCTAGAAAGCAGGCCGACGCCAGAGGACATCAGCATTGAGAGGTCAATCCTCAGCCGTGCCAGACCTCTTATCAGCACAGCTGAGGTTGGAAAACAGAGCGATCTCTGAGGCAAATATGTCCTTCCTCAGTCTCAGGGCCAGCTGCAGGGACCCTCGTACCTCTGGTGTAATCCCAAGTGGCCAAAAAAGCATGATGTACAGCCAGGGACGAACACAGTGCAGGGTCTCGGCCACACTGCATGGATGGATACCTGCCTTCCCAAGAGCAGGCAGCCTGCACCAGGGCAACTTTGGGGAGCTGGCAGGCTAAGCTGAAACATCAGGGTCCACCGTCAGCTCAGTGCCTAGGCTCGGTGCCCTGCCCTGGGAGCAATGCCCACGTAGCACAGCACAGCCAGAACAACGCAGAGCGGGAGCAAGCGACACCATCATGGACACCCTTAAGTGGCTGGGCACTGGCACCCACTGCTGCAGGGACCATGACCGAGCCCAGAGTCCCGATGGCACGTCCTGCTCAAGCGATGAAGCTGAGGTTTCGGCCTTGGCGGGGCCCATATCTTGCCAGGTTTGGAGGAGGATTGAATTCATCTCCCCTTGCTGATGGAAAGGCATCTTGGCTGGAGGCAGGGGGAGTAGTGCAGGATTTGGCCTTACTTGTACCTGATTTCACGAAGGTGCTCAGCCCCAAGTCAGCACTACCAAAGTCCAAATGCACTATGCTGACTTTTGCATTGGAGCGTGAGAAATGCTGGTGATCGGTTCCACAGGCTCATAGCCTTCAATGAAAAGGAGAGCACGGTTTGGCCCACGACTAGTAACTGCAGGGGGGGGTCTGAGATCCTACGGACCACACAGGCATGCCCCTGCCCCCACCCTGATCCGGGGGAACTAACCACGCAAAGGCTACATTCACCCTTCACTTGCTGAAGATCTCTTTTCAGCCCTTTCTTTTGGTGGAAACAGCCCTGGCTTCTTTCCTTCCCAGGGAAGGGAGGAGGCCAGCAAACAGGCAGGGAAGCCAGAAGGAGCGAGTCACCGACGTTCCTCCAAGTAAAACTGGATTGAGGGAAATGCAGCATTTGCATTTCCGTATCGTGGCAGCCACGGCACTTTGCCAAGACAGAAGCAGTGTTACTCCTTGGAGGCTTCTAGCGCTGAAAAGAGCTGCCCGAGGCTCCCTGGTGTCCGAGGGGCACAGCAGGACTAGCCCCTGGGTCTGCCAATGCCCAGCCCTGGGCCCTGCAATAGCTCCCCCGGTCCTTTTCTCACCAAGTTCTTCTGCCAGTGGCCTGCGAGCCCCCAGGAGCCGCAGGTGCCAACTAGCCGCCTCGCTCCCTCCAGCTTGGGGAGAAGCAGATGTGACAAAGAGGGAAGAGGGACGGTGCAGCTGTGGTGTGACAGTTCCTGCCTGCTCTCCCCCTCTAGTACAAGAGACCAAGTCCTGGGTCGTGCTCTGCACTCACCCAGCAAAGGAGCAAGCAACCCCCGTGGTGGGCTGAGCACAGATGCGGGGACCGCTTTGGGCCTCAGGGTCATCCAGACAAGCTGCAGGGCACAGAGAGGCACTGGGCAGCAAAACCATGGCCCCCGCCCCTTTACAAATGCCCAGCACTGCACTCACACAAATTGGCTGCATCCTGCCTGTGAGCGCACGCTCCCCAGCATTAGCCACAAGAAGCCTGGGCACGATGGGCTGGATGCCATCATCTGCCATCAGCTTCCTGCATCTTAAGAGCAAAACCAGGTTGGTGAGTGCTTGAGTGAGGCCCTGGGCATCTCCCCACACACTGCCAAACTCGCCACCCAGCCAGTCTGGCTGTAGACTGGCACCACATCCCCACCCGCACCGGTGACCCAGAAATCCAGCACATCTCCTCACCTTTCCTTCTAGGACAAAGTCTCTAGGCCTGCCCCTTGAGGAAGTGGCTTTGAAAGTACCAGCTCATGATGCTGCATTGCTAGGGCTTCAAGGAGTAGGTGCTCAGGCCCTTTTCTGCAGCAAAGGCAGGGCTCAGCGGGAAGGCAATGTGGGCATGTGGGCTTCATGCCAGCCACATCATCCTGGCTACAAAGGAGGCTTGATGCCAGGGCTCCCGAGTGGGGATGGACAGCAGAAGTATAATTCCCTGGGGTCAGAGCAGCAACCTGGAGCTTGGGGACCCAGGGTTCCCAGCTGAAGCCAAGTCTCTCAGATGTTTCACATGGCTCCAGTCCCTGAAGTGCCGCTGAGGCCCCCTACTCCTGCACCAGGCCTGTATCTTCCCAGTACGACTCGTGAGTTGTAAAAAGCTGTGAGGAGGCGGCGAGGGAGGTGGATCCTGCACGCCTGGCGCATTAGTGTGTGCAGGGACTCCAGTGGGGTGGATTAGGCTCACACGCGATGCTATTCCAGGTCTGCCTATGCTGCGTCGCCACTGCCTCAGTCTCTCCCAGGTGCTGAGCTTGGCGCTGTGGTGATGAGGCCTCTCTGGGGGATGGTCCAGGGTGGCACTATCCACAGTGCCCGAGATGGAGATCTCGAGAGCAGGCCGAGAGAAGTCCTGGGGCAGCCTCTTTTGGGGTTGGAGCGTGGGTGAAAGCAGGTGGGCAGGGGACATGTGCCCCAGGTGGCAATGGCCATGTGGTGTGGACGTACCCAGAGACCTTTGTTAAGGGCCATGGGACCTGGTCCCCGCAGTGCTGGCCTCCTGCCAACCGTACACATCTGTCCTGCTCTGGCAGACCTTGGGGATGAATGTTGAAAGACAAAGCTAAAAAAAATTATTAAAAATCCTGTCTTTGAAGCAGCATCTCCGCGATGTGAGCTCAAGCAAAGAACCTGCTGAGGAAGCAGCTGTTGGGAACCCCTGTTGGCAAAGACAGCGACACGCCTGGCAGCGCCCGCAGCCATTCAAGGGGGATCTGACAGCTGTAAGCCCCGGGCAGTGGGTTGGACAAAGCGCAGCGTTTAATCAAAGCAGTGCCCTGGGGAGCTGGGTGGCTGCCCTGTGATCGGTGCTTTCTTTCCTTGCAGGTAGCAGGCGTCTTTGCAGTAGTCCCAGTTCAGCCCATCGCTTTGTAGGTTGAAAACAGACTTTGGAGGCTCTAGGAACACCTCCTGGCTCATGGCGTGGATGCACAGGGCTCTCCTGGGTGAGGGAGACGAAAGGGCTGACACATCCCTCTCCCATGTGGAGCTGGGAGTGTGATTCAAAGGACAAAGCAGCCGCTGGATCAAAATCAACTTGGCGGAGGGGTCCTCGGGGGCTGTCGTCACACCAATCCCACTGTGCTGGGTCCTGCATGTACCTACAGGAGCAGGCAGTCCCTGTCTGGAGGAGCCTACAGCCTGTGTGGAGGAAGCGTTGGTACCCCCGTGCTACTGCTGGGGAATGGAGGCATGGGGCGATTAGGAGACTTGCCCAAGGGCACACATGAAATCAGTGGCAGAAGCACAAACTGGATCAGATCCCTTGAGCCCCAGCCAGTGTCTCTACCAAGAGCTCATTTGTGCCCCGTAGCCATGGCCAACCTCTCTACCCTCAGGTGCGCTCACAAACCACCCACCTGGCAGGCCAAAGGAAAAGCATCAACACTGTTACTTGGGAGACCTCAGCTGGCTACTGAGCAGGGAGAGAAGTCACTGACTGCCATCTCTTTCATGGGCTAGGTGTCTTTTGAGCAGGAATTGCTTGAGCTATGCAACCCTCCTTGTGCAAAATGAGCAGGCTTTGATTCCTCCTTCTTCCTGCTGCCCCATGGGTCATTCAAACTGTTATTTGAGGTCTTCTGTGCTTCCACTCATACCACTAACTCAGATCTTGTTCCTCCTCAGCTTTCAGCAACTGCTGCCTTTCCTCGTCGAGCAGAGAGGGGAAGCAAAGGCCGAGAAGCCAGGCCAGTGGCTCAGACTTCACCGATCACCATTGGTGCCTGGGTTAGGACTCAAGGGTTACCGTGTCAGGGAGCTGGGACAGGAGCTCATTTCCAAACATGCAGCCCATTGGCTGCAAGGGATGATGTCACCAGCCTGTGCATGACAGCGGCAAAGTGCCATGAGTGTGAGGTCACAGGCTGGTTGGAGATGAGGAGCTCTGTGGCGCTAATGGTTGCGTGTGAGCACAGGGTAACCTACAGCGCCCCGGTGCATGGGGGAGAGCCAAGATGCTCTTGTCCCAGGCTCTGGTCTCCACTGACTATCCAAAAGAGCAGTGCTTGACATCGCCTCCAAAACATGGCATGGTTTGGGGAGCACTTGCATTTCTCTTGCTGGTTTGTCAGTCAGGATGGCTGACTGATAGTCACGATGCAGAAAGCAAGATGCAATCTACCTTTTATTGGACCAATGACATTGTGGGTCCAGAGATGCTTTGGCTCTTCCCCAGGCCTGGAAGCTGGTAGGATCCCTGTCCCAATTATACAGCTGCTCTAATAAAAGATATCACCGAGCAAACCCTGCTTCTTGCAAACTCCTGGGACTATCACAGCTGCAACAACTGCACCACAACGAGCGCAGAAGGAGCCCGAGGGTCCTGCAGAGCTGGGGTTAAACAGGCCTGCTTTGCAGAGCTGTTGGCAAGATCCTGCTGTTAAACACTGAACCCTCTCATGCACAAAGCTGTGTGCACTACAGCAGCTGGATCTTTATTAAGTGCACTGTACTCAGCGCTGGTGCTTGCAGTGCGAGCATGTGGAGGTTCAAAGCTTACAGGTGTTACGCTTAAAATCACCCCCTTAGAGCACCAGTTCCACCCAGTAGGTTGTTACATGAACATTTGGAAGTGAAAGAGGGTCTGCAACGCCTGCTGCTCTGCGGGGACAAGTCAGGCTCCTTAGTCTTTTCAGTTGATCGGGGGCAGGTGTATCCTGTGCTCCAGACAGCTTTGCCATGCAGATAGAGAGACCCTGTGCCCGAGAAGGAAATGTGGGAAGCTTTTGTCAATTTAAATCACCCAAGGATATCCACACACACGCACAGGAAGGGTGTTTACATGCATGCACGCACGCACATGCACACAAACGAACTGCCTTGCTTACTAAAGCCTGCTAAGAAAATACACTGTGACACATCGACCCTTTTCCCTGCCGCTGCCATTCAGCTCTGTTGCACTCTGTCACTCACTCAGAAGGTGCAGATTCGTACTCACAAAGAGCCTCGCTCCGTCATGGCCCCGCTACAGTCAGGCGGGTCCAGTCTATAGGGCGGCACCATTCAGGACTGGGACCCGGACTGTCCAGGCAGCCGGCCATTCTTTATGCTGCCGTACAGCAGATTCCCAGCCTGAATTCCCACCTGCCTCTCCCATATAACATGCAGATGGAGATCTCTCTTCCTCTCCTTCCTGTGTGGGGCCCATTCCTTCTGTCGCTGAAGTCTGTACACGCTTTAGCATCAGTGGCAGCAGATCCAGGCTGTGACCTCCATCCTGCACCACCTTGCTGGTACCCGCTGCTCTTCCTGCAGTGCCCGTCTGCAGCCGAGATGATGCAATGGACCCTTATCCTCTTAGCGCGAACCTACATGAGGGACCCTGCTCAGCACTGACAAGCCGTGCCCTAACCCACCTCGCCGCACGTTGCTCAAAGCCCACTCTTTCTCCAACCCTGTCCCAGCTCCAGTCCTCCCTTCCACAAGCAGCAAGAGATCTCGGAGGTGAGACACAGGCTCGCGCCCTTTCAGCTGACACTTAAGGCAGGGATGGCACAGTGCTCCCTGAACGGGAGGCCTGTGGATGCAGCCAAGAGCCCAGCTCAGCTTGGACGTTGGGGGAACGCTCTGCACTGATGGTGCTATTTGCTTCTTGGTGGAGAGGCTGAGAGAGAGCCCTGCTTCCTCACGTGGGCTGGAAAGCTCTGTCCACACGAATCCTCTGAGTAGAACGAGGCCTGGTCCGGGGCGGCTCCAGCGGCGGGGGGATGCGCTGGTCCTGTTGCACCCCCTTGGATTCCTGCTCCACCCACAGTTTAAAACCGACTGCCTGGCAGCAGCATTTCTCTTCAGTCAGCAGTGGGACCCACAATTGAATTCACAGCTTATCAAAATCCACCTGATTCCTTCTGAATGCCAATTCCACGGGTGTTAACACACTGCCCCTCTCCTTTTGAATGGCCTTGATAGCCCACTAATCAAGCTCATCTTCCTTCTGCAAGTCTGCTGTCTGGTAGCTGCTCCTGGTAACGTAGCTCCTACTTCACAGCCCTGCAGACTGGTTTTAACTCACTCTAATGAATTTCCCTTTGCTGTTAAACTGCATACTACAGCCTGAGGCCCCTAGTGTATTAGTGAAGCTTTTAGTTTCTTTTTACCCTGAAAAAAAACGTGGTCTGTGTTACATGTGATGATGCACCACAGCATCTGCACCCTCCCCCTTTCAAGAATCCTCAGTCCTCCCATGGGCCTGGGTCTGTGACATGGGGCCATTTCCTGTGCGTGCTGTTAATAAGACACTAAGAGAGGCAAAGAGGGCATCAGATTTGGGCTTGGGAGAGGCTTCTTGTGGTCCAGGAAGTACCTGGAAATAATAATTCCTCTGGGTAGGGACGGCAGGAGCTGCTCCCAGACGGGGTTGCTGGTCGTCGATGCTCTGAGGCCATGCTCGGGCTGGTTGGCATCACTCAAGAGCTTTCGCCCTGTTTGAAGATGCGCTGCCGATGGTGGGGGGGGGTCCATGCAGGGGCAGAGCTTCAGCTGCAGGGAGCACCTCGCAGCACGGGGACGTGGAGAATGAACAGAGGGACCCCCTCCTGGGGGGAGAACCGCTTTCCCTAGCTGACAGCCCCAGACATGCTGGGCAGGCAACTCCAGGGCCATCCCTGCCAGCAGAAGGTTTTGCCAAGTCAGGCTGGCTGCTGGTCGCAGAGAGGAGGAAAGCCCAGGAGCTGGCACGGTGCTGCCTAATGGAGAATGCCTCACAAAGCTCCAAGAGAGGACTTTGGCAAGGTGGAGGCGAGCCTGGGCAGACGAGACAGGGCTCCAGCACGGTCACTGCGCCAAGGCAGGCTTGCTAGTGCCAGGTCCGCCCCAGACACAGGGGCACAAAGGCAGCCTGCTGTCCACTGGCATGGCACGCAGCAGCCCCCGCGTCTGCCTTTAGGCCCCAGGGCTGGCGCAGGGCAGGGGCAGTGCCCTTCTGGGTAACACCTCTCCAGGGACCGGGGAGAGCGCAGGCACCTCGGAGCCAGGTAACATCTGACTTGGGATCATCAGCTTGCCCTTGACCCCTCTGCAGCGTGACAGGGCTGTTGATGCAGGATTCACCTGCCCGAGGACTGAAGGGCAGGGCTGCTGCTGAGGCCAGACCTGGCCATGATCTCCAAGGGCAGCGTGTGCTGCGGCGGGCGATTCACACGCGAGCGCCAGGCAAGATCAGCCGGGTTGCATGCTGAGGGCTAAAAACCAGCTAAGCGAGGGGTCTCACCGAGTGGCCAACAGCGGGCATTTGTCCCTGAAGCGGGGAGGGAGGTGTTTCTAGTGGGGCTCTGCAGTGGTCAGCTCCAGGCCCCCCCAGAGCAGTGATTAGAGTCTACCCCATTCCTTCTAAACTCTCCACTTCACAGGTGTTAACGACCCTCTTGCCTTTTTAATGGTCTTACAGTTCCACTGATCTGGCTAGCCTTGGCTCAGCAATGCTGCTGTCTGTGGCCCTGGCGTGGGGACAAGGCTGATGCTGGGGATACGCACAGGACTGCCTCTCGGGACCCCCTCCTGGCTCGCTGGGGCAATTCCCTGCCCAGCTCTCAGGTTCCTGCGTATTCCTAACCCTCCCCATGCACAGCACGAGCAACCGGGCACCCAGCGTGGGGCGAGACACGGCTGCTCGCCTGGGAGCAGGATGCGGCCGGGAGTCCGGAGAACACTGGCTCCATCACGTCTGCTGCTATTCTTGTTCCCATGTATTAGCCTGAGCGCAGCCGTGATTCAAGGTACTCATTTATTCCTTCGCTTGAACAGGGCTCCTCACGTGCTTGACAGCAGAGCTGTTTGTTTTAGCACCTGCTTATTTTAGATCCGAAGGGCAAAGGGAGTCAGGCGCTTTCTGTACTTACCTTCATTGCTTCCTTGCTTCGGGACGGCCTCCGCTGTGCTGGAAATCATGAATAGAGACCTACCAAGGAGCTACTGCAGGATAAAAGTGGGCACAGCTTTAA